AGCTGTCTTTGGAATTCTTCCCCCTGGCAATCATCCTCTTCCCCGCCTCCCCCCCCCCCCGATGTAGCTGCCCTGAGAATTCCGTCGGTCTTCCCCGAGGACATTAAACATCCCAGTTTTTGTGTCGGCTCAAGACAGACGCACTGACACGAACTTGTCCACCCTTCGGCTACTGCGAGCTATCCCTCTCTCATTCCTCTGCCCCACGCACATGACACGGCCCGGTTATTTTGCACCTTAGATGCGGGGCTGCGGCGTTTGGGAAAGCGTCTGTTTTTGTTTGTTTGGTTTGTCCACGAATCTATCAGATAAAAATGCCCATCGCTTGGACTTCCTCTCTGCAGTCACCGTAGCTGGAGGGAGGGAGGGAGGGGGTTGGGGGGTCCATGTCAGCGTCCCTCCGCTGTGACCGCTGGGCAATGCTTCGTTGGGAAGAAGACAACAGGCGGGGGAGGGGCTCTGGACAGGGCAAACGGCCGCGATTCTGTTGCGCATGCCATGCAAGCCGAACGCCGCACGAAACGCTCTCCGCCGCTCGTGCACTTACCACTCAGGGGTTCTGGGGGAAGGGGTTTGGTTTTTTTGTTGTTTTTAACGCAAGACCCGCAACGAGAGGGAGAAAGAAACAGCACACAATGTATTACAGGCCTGCAGAAATTACTCCGCAATTAAGAAACGCGTCAAATCACAAGTCTCAACGACAGATATATGACCTGGAGGGGGGGAGGAGGGAGGGGGACGTGGGGAGGGGGGAGGAGAGGACGGGTGGGAGTGAAACATTAAGGCACTGCAAATATTTAAAATTACTCGTCGAAAGCAAGCCAGGGAAGTATTAATTCACATTAGTCAATCTGATGTATGCATTTAAATAATTATGCAATATATAGATATTAGTTGGGGAATGATATGCCGCCCTATTAAAGAAATAAATCAAGTCCGCTTCCACACCATTAATTTTCTCACGCACGCTTTTTCACATCCAGTACACACGGTCGACAGTACAGAATATTTTATATGCAAATCGCGTGCCGATAGTAATGGATTTTTATCGCGTGTATACAATTTTGTGCTGATGTATTTATTACATATATTGCACAATAACAATGTGTTATATTTAGGCTCGCTCACACACACAAACAGCATGACGTGAACGTTCCAGTACGTAATTGATGTATATACTTCTCTTTTGTATGGTTTATATTATTTGTGTCTTATTTACCGGTGTCAATCAAGACACCGACGACTTTGCTCTGCACTTAATTGGCTTACATTCTAGATGCGGGGATTAAAATATTGGCTCGACTGGCACGCAGCGAACATTTCCCCCAGCGGGCAGCAGTGTCTGGGAAAGTGCTGCCCTACCCCCCAACCCCCTAACTATGTTGGAGCCGAGGTCAGACTTGAAGTGATCTCAGAGATAGTCCTGCGATATCCACTTACAAGCTCCAATCTCGAACAAGAATGATAACTTCGGGTTCATGTGATGACACCCCATCGCACATATCGAGGTAAAATTCGAAAAAATGTAATAAAAAAATAGTTACAATCGAGAACGTCCTGTACATACGAACAGACAACTAAGGTTGCATATCTACCCGCTGCTCGGCAAAGTGAATTATCCAGTGATGGTCGGCATGAAACTGCCAGGAATGTGGACACATTTTCCAGAATGATGAACCCACAATTTACAAATATTTCATTACATGAAGCAATAAGGGCCTTCCTGCACGCGAGCTGTGTAAATTTTGCCAAACATATTATGACGACGATGTAAATTATAGGATTAGTTGCCCCAGTAAATAAGCAAATTAATAACAAAGCCTTCCACCTTAATTACGTTCAAAGTTTCCAACACGAGTATTACTGATAATTCAACTTTATTGCAATAATATTGTTGAAACATAGCACTTCGGTGCAATTTTTTTCTTCGAAAAACTCAATAAAATTTCTAATTTAATTTAATCGTACATCCATATATATATAAAACCCTATGAGACTGTGATAATGAAAAGTAACTCGTCCAGTGGCGTTCCTAGGAAGCGCTTCATTTTGCGCTGCCAAAAAGTGTTCAGATATGACAGTTGCATCGTGCTTAAACGGATGCGGATTGAGTCAGGGCTCAGATCATGTTCGTCTACATCGGCTCAGCGGTTAGAGGGTGCATCTTGCCACTGGAAGGTTGCACGTTCAAATCCTGGTTGGAGCTTCACCACTCAGCTGATCGTCAATGGCGGTTGTCCGACGGATAGACATTACCCCGCCGTGGGAATATGGAATTTCCACCGCCAGCTCGGGGCTGTGAAGGGGAGATGGGCACTGCACGTCAATGCTCACTCGAGCAGGAGCACACACTATCTGAAAGGTTCAGTAAAAACGGCCATGCCTGTCTGGGACACATAAACAAATGTGTACAACAGAGCATGTGACAATTTACCCTCTCCATCCGGGGCCTTGATTCAAGTGTTCAATTAACTACTGCAGTACTACGATTCGGGGGGTTGCAGATCAATGCAACAAGACGTTATTTTGTTTGACCATTTGGTTCAGATTTTTATCTTGTAACACGAACGTCATTTGCATACACCTGCGAGGAATTGCAAGTAATAATTAAATCGCGTATGCAAAATTTCGATGCGTGTTATCGTGAGCACAAGGATCCATTGCAATTGATAAACCGATGGATCATTTGCGCGCCTTGCACAGGAATGCTTGTTGTGTAACGGATAGCATGGACGCGCGGCTCAAATCAAGAGCGGTGTGTGTCACAGACAGTGCGCTGTAGTTTCGGAGTGGAGGGGGGGAGGGCGATCTTTCTGAGTGCAATCCCAAATGGAAAAAAAATTCCCAATTTGGTATATTTATGTTTATAAATATATACCGTGACACCAGCACAAAAAAATGGCCTACTCTTTAAGAATAACGTCGTGGGATGTCTACAGCCCACCGTGAAGCAGTGTTTTATGGGTAACACAACCACCGTATTAACGGAGCAGCCTGGCCGACTTAAACCGCAAACTTCCGCAACAATTGACAAGCACACTACAGTCGGGCCACAGTCACCACCTAATCCGTGGAGGTAATGGCAGTAATGTGTGTATGAATGTTGACATTTCTTTTTCACCGTACGTAGCCCACCGTGCTCATGGCAACACACACACAGCTTAAGTCTACATTATCTTTCCCAGTCATATTCACACCTCACAAATCAGATTAATTATGATTTATAGCAATCAATTTCTAAATTAGTATCAATTTTTTTTTATATATATACATTTTCAAATTTCATTTTACTTGAACGAGGAGACATATTTTGACAAGAATTTGTATGGAAGGTATAATTAGGTTGTCAAGTTGCCTCATAAAAAATATAGGAGATGAAAATTGACTTAATGACTGTGAGGGCTCTATTTAAAAAAACCTGCGCTTGCACATATACCAAACCTTGCCCATATTCGTTTGTTACATTATTCACTTATCAGAGTGGAAAAATGCTACGTTTTTGCCTCACAATCATTAGGGAAGAATCTTTGGATCCTCCAAAAAAGTTATGAGTTAATCATGCAGCCTTGCCACTGCTTATGCAACGGTGCCAATGGTCGGATTCAAGTTTGACACGTTATTCAGACTGAACACCCACAGTAAACAATGCATTAACACCCTCGCAAGGCCAGTGGGAAAAAAGATTGGCGTTGCAAACCGCATGTTCAGAGAGCGTGCGGCATTTATACAACAATCGCGCACGCTTGTGCGCGAGCACGCGTCCCACGCATGCCAACGCATGTACACATACGTCCAACACGGTTATCCAGCGCATGCAGGAACAAGAGCGTTCACAGATGCACGCAAACTCAACGATCCCCTCTATCACCTTTGACAGACTCTGAGGGGGGCAAGTGCTGTTGGCGAGGAGCTATGAAGGCCTGGACGGCACACGAGGGGGTGGGTGGCCAGCACGAAGCCCCGCCGACTTTGTCTCCCCAGTGGCGATGTTTACTACACACCGCACCAGGTACTCTTTTTCGAGGCTGAGTCGCCCTAGGGGAGGCCCGAGACCAGCTCAGTTATTCCCCACCGTTAATGGCCACGAGCGGGAATGGAACTCGGGTGGCCGGGTTCGTAGCGCAACGCGTCAACCTCTACGCGACCACTCCACACTCAAACACACACACACACGTATATGCATGCACTGTACCCGATAGGTGCGAAGGTGCAGACGTGACGCTGTCATAACAACCGTGTTTGGCAACACAAACGTAGTGAAACGAACAGAGATAATTAGGACGATGCTACATCCCAGGAGCGTGAAAGCCAACCATCACGCTTCTGTTCTCCATCCCATGTGCAAGCAAACGACGCAGTCCTATCAAAATGCTGCCAAGTTGCTTGCCATAGGACAAGCGTTCACCCGTCCAGGTTTTATTGCACGTCAGAATGGAAATTCTACAAGCAACGTTGGTTTAGTATTTAAGTGCACTCGGTTATGTATGAGAGCCCCGCAAAAAAACTAGATCCAAATAACGACGAATAAATACCAAATGCATTCAAGTACAGCAAAAGGCAACTTGTCACGAGCCTCCGTTTTTTGTTGTTGTTTTCTTTTCAAAACATCACGAAACAAAGTGAAAATAATATTCGTGATAAAAGCATTTGGTAGTGGTGTGCACTCACAAATAATTAAAAACGCAACGCATTCGTCAACATCGAAGCCCTGAAGATCTCTCTTCTACCATTACTGATTAAGTCACCAATTATATATATATTTTTTTATCTCCCTTCTTGAGGGCAAGTGTTACTGATGAACGTGTGCAGCTTTCTAAACTATAAACAATATTTTTTTTTATTTCCACCAGGTAAGGTCCACTGAGCTATGCAGCTCTTTTTCAGAAGTGACCCGGCCACAAATCATAGGTCAACGAAGTGGCTCGTCACGTGGAAATGTACAGAAGCCAAATCCTCCAAACGCACGTTTCGAAATGTGGGGAGAAAAAAACCGAAGGAAAAATCCACGTCACTACGGTGAGAGATACATGCAAACTCCAGCCATACAGGAGTCAGGGTCAGGATCTAACCCCCCCGACCTCCTGCATACCAGGCGAGGTTAGTTAACATCTCCTAGCCACCGCGGCGCCCAAACGCAGAGGGACGGTCACTCGCGCGGATTCCCGAACACCCCTTCAAGTGAGCGCCAGGAGGCCAGCGAGCCTTTCACCTGTGACGTCGCGAGCGCAACCGCCCACGGGCGAGCCGACGAGCGAGAGAGCGAGAGCCGGCGCTACGGCGGCTCGGGCTTGCGCGTGAATTGTCCTCCGAGCTCGGCGTAAGCTGCGAAAATTGCCTTTTGTTGCATATAGATAGGCTGGTTACATGACTGGCTGGCTGCGCGTGCCGCGCAAGGGGTCACACGATGCAATATCCCGGAGGCCGCCTCCGGCCCCGCCGTCACCGCCGCTGGCACCGTCGCGGATTGTGACGTGTCGTCACGCGCCGGCGAGGTGGGTGTCCCACGCGCTTGCTGCCGTCGCAGAGTCGCTCGCGTTCCACATTTAAATATTCCTCCGCTTTATCGCCGATTCTGTCCAATTTTGTTCCGGCAACGCGCGGCGCCCCGTAAACTTTCGGAGCGGCTGCCACCGGCCTCCGTCGCTGCGAGCGCTTTCATTTTTAGATGCTCGCAGCTCGGGTGCCCCAGGGGGGTGGGGGTTCGGGGGGATTTGTCACGCTGCTTATACCGGAGTTTCCTCCTCTACGTTTATAGTGGTCAACAACAACTTAACGCAGTTTATCCCCGACCCAAGCCCGATGTGAGAGTGCACACAAACACATTTCAAAATGAGAAATTGCAGTTCTGCCCCCCCCCCCTCCCCTCACCCCCCGACTCAACACCCTAATCAATTCTACCTTTTGCCGGCATTTGCTCGCCCTTCCCACAGGGATCCGCACCTATATTTTTACCCTTTTCCAAAACTCAAAAATCTCACCCAGCAACAGCCGTTGACGATTGAGTTACCACCCGTCAAATCGTCAACACGCCCAGTTTAAACTCCGGACGTGTAATTAAAACGGCTGTTAGGTGGAACGCCACGAGCGAGACAGAGATTCGCGGGAACAAATGAAGGCCGCCGTTTGAAAACCGTTGGGTGCCTGCAGCCGAGGAGGACGCGCGACGTTCATATCCGCGAATGTTTAACGGCGGCTCGGAGAGTCAAAGGGCCCGTGGTATCCGTGTGTTTCAATTTGCGGTATCTCCCTTCGTCTTCAGGAGCGCCCCATCGTCCGCCGCGTCGCAACCCACTGCGGTTGGCGTAGCTCGTCAGGATTACAGAAACCCGGCAATGCCAGGCGCCCCCTGCCCACCCTCCCCTCCGCGAGTGCATCTTGGGGGCACTGTTCAAACGCGCGCACACTCCACCTCTCCCACTCCGGCAGCTCCTCTGTGCCCTTTAAAATCCATGACTGCACTTGCGCCTGGAACGCGGTTTCTCTCTCAACCCTCGTTGGGCGTGCGCGGGGTTTGCTTTGCTTCCGTTGCGATGCTGCCCAAGCGGGATGCGTCCCCCTGTAATTAACCCCCGAATTAATTACTGCCAGAAGCATTTACCCGGAAAAGAAAAATCGCTCCACTTATTTTACGTTTGCGGCATTGACCTCCACACGACGGAACATTAAGAGGTTGCACACACACAGCCGTGTGTAAGACACGCCTTACCCTTTAATCAGCACACTCCGTGGGCACACAAAAAGACTATTAAACACCTTACCCCAACTTCCCCAAATCATTAACCCGCTAAGTAATTTTGATTTAAAGCTTTCGTGACTGCAGGGATTCATATTCTTGGTTCTTTCGGTAAAGTCGCGTAGAAGGGAAACAATAAAATAATAAAAATATAAAACAATAAAATTCTCACGACGTTTCGACTGCAACACAAGCAATCATCACCAGGTAAGTAACGTCAATCTTGATTTGAAGCTTTCGTGACTGCAGGAATCCATACTCTTTGGTTCTTTTGGTCAAGTCACGTAGACACGTGACTTGACCGAAAGAATCAAAGAGTACGGTAAGTAATGCCATTATGCAGATAATTGAATTACAGGAACATCAACACTTGATGTCCAATCTGCTCACCACGAGGCACAGAAAGAGTTTTTCGCGGCCGAATGGAGCCCCGCGCCGTGCTAATGGCCGGCTCGCGTCCGCACCGCGAGGCCACCGGGCGGCACCCGTTCGGCCGGCTTGACTCTGCCGATGGGACTCCACGGTCGCGCGGTCGCGCGCACGCACCCACGGCGGCGGCTGAGCGTGCGGCGTCTTACCGGCGACCAGCAGCTTGATGCGGCCCCCGCTCTTGCTCGTGTCGACGGGCAGGAAGTCCTTGTACCAGGAGATCTCGGGCTCGGGCTGGCCGCTGACGGCGCACAGCATCGTGGCGGTGCGCGAGCGCTCCACCACCTTCAGCTGGGGGCCCATCTCTATGACCGGAAAGCCCGGCGGGAGCTTGTCCTCTGTGGGCAAGGCGAGGGGGCGGGGGGGGGAAGGGAGAGGCAGCGGGGAGGGAGGACCGTGTGCTTACCGAGCTCGTATATTTGCAACACTGTTTTCGATGCGACGGTGCTAATGGCCGGGTTCAAGTTTGACGTGTTGATCGGACTGAAAAACGCACAGCGAACGGCGCGTAAAAATCCTCGCTAAGGCGAGTGGGAAATTTCTTGGCATTGCGACGGCATGTCCAGAGAGCGTGCGACCTACTAGCTTTCCACACCAATATTATCAAGCAGCATGTGTGTAAGTGAACAAATGCTGCTGGGTTGTCAGATGTCATTGAAAAAAAAGTACTCCCGGCAAACCACAGTAAGAGCACTCACGTCAAGTTTATCGACTGATGCAATTTAAATTAAGTTGTTACACGCTGTACGTGTCTGATGATTGCTAAAGGCGAACCCACATGGGGATGGAGAGCGCCAAATCTAATTAAGATAAAGATCGTACGTGTCCTTGTATGTGCATCGCGCATGACATACAGAGAGGAATGCTAATTCAAAAAATATATATAAATCTTGTGCATAAGTGTGTGTTCCACGTGTGAATGTGTGCTCCACGTGTGTGTGTGTGTTCCACGTGTGTGTGTGTTCCACGTGTGAGTGTGTGTTCCACGTGTGAGTGTGTGCTCCACGTGTGTGTGTGTATTCCACGTGTGTGTGTGTTCCATGTGTGTGTGTGTATTCCACGTGTGTGTGTTCCACGTGTGAGTGTGTGTTCCACGTGTGTGTGTGTATTCCACGTGTGTGTGTGTTCCACGTGTGTGTATTCCACGTGTGTGTGTATTCCACGTGTGTGTATGTATTCCACGTGTGTGTGTGTATTGCACAACATGGAGAGACAGCAATGATTCAATTCAAGATGGAGATCTCGTATGTATGCACGTACATGTGTGTGTGTCCCCTGCGACAGTGAGCGATGAATCACATTAATACAGAGATTTTGTATGTACTGTAGGTGAGCTGCCAACATGCTGTTGAGTGAAGAGTCAAATTAATATAGGGATTTTCTAATAGTATTATTATTTTAATTGCTTATCCAGCAAGGCTTCACTGAAAGATCCATGGTTGATGTGTCTAAATTCCAATTTGCATCGATTTTTAATTGGCAAATGTGGACCAAGATGCCAGCACACAATTACCTCCTCTTGTGAATGAAGTCACCGAACCTATTAAGTCCACTGTGAAGCAAACGGCGCGTATTATTTGTGCGGTTATACACCCGCCGTATTCATCAGGGTGGCCCCTGGATTCGAACCGTGAAACCCTGCAACAAGAGGCGAACGCGCCACCGCCAGGCCACGTCACTGCCCCTGTTGGTGGCATTGACGTGGCCAGGGGGTTTGTGCAGCTTCCGATCATCAATGGGGCCGTACTACGACGTGACAGCCCCGCTGTGTGGACGTGGGGAGCTAGGAGACCGTGGCGCACAAAGTCTGCGGCTGTGAAGTGCGTCAGGGGCGTGCCGGGCAGTAGGGCTGAACGATTTGAGGAAAATATATAATTGAGATTTTTCTGACAGATATTGCACTTTGATTTGCGATTACATTTTTTTTTAAGTCAAGCTTCAGTTCAATATTCACTGTGTAATAGATTTAAAACATGTGATGGAGCATTACCACATTACCACATGATACCATCAACATATTAACTGCTCTTTATATCCTAATGCAAGGATGAGAACTTAAAATATATGAATTGCTTCCAACATGTATTTATTAAAATATTTTAATTGAAATAGAACAATCATAGAACAAAGTTCAATAAATAAAGTTATAATTAAAAAAAAACAATTTCAATAAGAAAGTGATAGGATTCATCTTCTTTGGTTCTTTCGGTAAAATCACGTAGAATGAGAATAAAATAATATTATATATTATTTATTATATATTATTTATATATATATTATATATTATTTTATTCTCATTCTACGTGACTTTACCGAAAGAACCAAAGAAGATGAATCCTTGCAGTCACGAAAGCTTTAAATAAAAAAGTGATAAGACTTTTCAAATCGCAGCTTTTGCGATTTAATAATCGCATTATTTCAAATTGCGATTTCGATTTGTTATCGATTAATGGTTCAGCACTATCGGGCGATACTTGTTGTTGCCCTGCACGTGCATGGAGCAGGAGGCTGTCACATGGCTCTGTGGCTACGTGGGATGACGTCCACTCACAAGATAACATCGACATGCATACGCGTTGATTTAATTATTAGTTTTATTGTATATCTGGTGATCTGTGTAAAAGCATTTGCTAAATAAAGCTGCCCCTGTTGTGTGTGCGTGTGTTTCCGTGTCCCATGTGACATAGAGCTGATCGAAAATTAATCATCGCTTTCGACGCCGCGTGGGGCGTATGAAGCAATCATCGGGCACGTGCAGCATGCAAGAACTCAAATTGGTCTTCGCACCTGATTTGATCACACGTGATGACGTCACAATTATCCCTTTGAGCCCCAAACAGGAGGATGTCTCCACAACTCTGGCTGTCACCTGACGAGGCCGACTGTAATTACCGGCGAAAAGTCGTACTAGAATTGTAAATGTTGTGGGTTTACTCTCCAACACACCGGTGTGCTGAACTGGTAACTAATTGGCCACGTTTTCTTTACGTGATAAACCATACTAGTTGGCTGTGTCGGGTGGTGGCGGGTTTAACGACACATTTACATTTCGGCGATGTAACCCGAAAAAAAACCCCCTCCAATTAAGGATAATATTGGTCGTGAAAGCCGACAAATGGAGGTAGCTTGGTAAACGTGATAAGGCCCGTTATTCGCCTGTTCTCTCAATATTCCTATATTGCAGGATCTAGAACATGCAGCCTTGTGTCAAGAGCTGAAGGCTGCGTGTTGAAAGTTGGGAGCAGCTACCGGAATGGAATCCTAACGGCAATGTCACGTGACTACGTGGCAACGTGGCAACGTGGTGCGGAGTATGAACAAGCCTTCATGTCACGGTCACACAAAAGGGAATTCATTGACCTCGCCATTCTGCGTGGCGTGGAAGCTGCCAATGTTTGTAGCGGAACTTGCCAAATGGCGCAGGAATTCCACTTAACCACGGTGAACCTGAGCAATGTGCCAGACGTACGAAATGGGGGAAGAAATTAAAGTATTTTCATGAAAGACAATGTAAATGTGAAAACTCTGCTCTTTCCGTGATGCTGCCATTTATCAGGGCAACGCAGCGAAATGTGTCAGCGCTAAGCTCGCCACGGCAACTGGAGCTTAGCTCCGTGCAAGAAAAAAATAAGTTCTGCCCAATCAAGCCGCCGCCGCCGCCGCTGCCGCCATCGCTTTTGTTCCACTACCGAGCAAGACGCGGCATTACATCAGACTACGAAAGTGAAAATGGGCCAGTGACAATCACGGCGCACCCGAAGCAGGGCTTGCATAACGCACTGCTCCGCAGATCGCCGCGCAAGGCTGGCACACGGCACTCCGCGTAACCCGGACGCCCCTGGCAGGGCAGGGGCGCTCAGGGCAGCACAACCGACCCCAAGCCACGGGAAGACAAAGCTGGCACCTAAACAGGCGGCAGGCGGACACGGAAAATCAGGAGGGCACGGTCCGAGGCACGAGAAAGCCCTGGGCTATTGGAGTCAAGACAAACTGCACCTGGCGTATGAGGGATGGATAGGGCTGTAAACATCTGTGAAGACAAGAGCGCAGCTGCGGTCATTATAGCCTGAACAACACGGACTTACGTCTGAGTGTTTACCGCATAGCCTTCCCGTGCGTAAGGCGAGATCTAATTTCTGCTACAGATCAGAATGTGGGTGCTCAGACAAACTTTGGACGGTATTCAGTCACCGTTTCACAGATGAGTGTAGCCTCTCAGCAGGGGGTGGTGTTGTCACGTGGTTTTACACAATTATGTAAATTGCGAGGAAATAATAAAAATATGACAAATTTGTACCGTGACACCGGCGCACGCGGCTTACTCTTGTCTCTTCTTCAAATCTTTGAAGTCAACCGTGCGGCAGACGGCGTGTCTTTCTGGTTCACACACCGGCAGCGTTAACCAGGGTGGCCGCATGGTGCGGAACCTCAAGCCCGTGCAGCAGGCAGAGCAAACCATGCCAGCGGCTCTGCCATGTCACAGTAAGTGCGGCCACGCTGATTCAGTAGCAGAAGCTGCAGAGCCAGAAATACCCCGGGTGCAAGCACAGGCAAGACAACCCAAACTGAGCGGCCGCTGTTAATGAACGAGTACTTTGAGGTTTTGTGTGACACATGAAAGTGAACCTTAGCTCCGTGTCAAATGCTATGTGTTAAGCTGTCATATACAAAAACAAAACAGAACATGTTTCGTTTGGTCAACCCATTGTGAGCTCCTCGTTTGTCGCGGTAGCCAATTATGCGGCATAGACTTTAAAAAAAAACTTTATTCTTTTAATTGAAGACAAATGAAGCTGGGGGTCACCCCGAATGCATCGCGGGATGCTCAAAAGCAGGCCTCAAAAGTCTCACAATACAAATGAACTTGACGCGTACGGAGAGATGCACAAAACTCACAAGGTTCCAAGTACACATGACCGGCTCGGAGATTGATGCCAAAGGGCAAAATGATCAATGTGGTCAAGCAAACATGGAAACATCCCCCCCCTCCCCCCACTCACAGACATAATTTATCTTTTTAATGTAATTAGTTATAATAACACATGCACATCTTGTCTAGATTACCTAAATTAACAATCTGTCTGCCTTCATCTGTTTGTCTTCTCAACGTGGCCAGTTAATCAATCTTATTAAACTGTGTCATCTGTCTAACTGACTCCTCCAAGATGAAAACATTAATTTCCCATTTAAAAAAAAAACCACACGTCGAGCTACGCCTCTGACTCGGTGCCGTGTCTGCTGCCGCGTGTCCTGGCTGATGAACCTCAAGGCGACGTGAGGCTTCGCGCACAAAGTGCGGCCTCTCGCAGAGGCGCTCGCGAGTATGCCAGAGTGTTGG